TGATTTTAGATTAGTTTTGCTTCTCTAAATTATTAAAAATGTTGTCTTTTTTATTAACTTTTTATACTCAATTCTTTTTAAATTAATTCTGTTACAATTGTCTTAAGATTATTTTTTGTGTTTATTTTTATGTATAATTTTTTCACATTTGCTTGCATTTTTGTTTTGGTCAAAAGAAAAATCATGTTAATGGAAAAATAATTGTTAAATTTAACTACGAACATTAAAGAAACAATCAAAAGGTATACCGATTAGCTGCAAATACAAGCATTGATTAACCGTGGTTTACCGGATAAAATCGCAGTTAACCGCTGGTTTTCATCACATGGACAGTTAATATTTTAATACCAGAATGAGTGCTTTATATCAATATGTAGTCCGGTAAACTCTGTGCCGAATGGTTTATAAAAGTGCTTTCAGTTATTGTTGATAAACGAAAACCTGCACTAAATACTAAAAATGTCCTAAACTTATTTTGTTGAAGAAAATGATTTTTATGTAATAAAAATCAAAGTGTGTGTTCTATAAAGAATTATTTGCATCTTAGATTTATTGACCACTTTGAGAACTACCAAAATTATTATTTGAATCTCTTCAATAAGTTGTCCTTAAGGAAAATCTAACAATAAAAGTGTGGTGAACGGTTTTCTTTCACTTTACTCTCTCGAAAGAGAAAAGCATGAATCCTTTTTAAAATTTATTGAACGTCTGAAAAGTGTAGAATTACAAGCCAGTGATTTTCTGATATTCTCAAAAATATCATATATGTTACTATTTCAAATTTTTCTTACGTGTAACTGTAGATTGGTAAGTGACATTTGATAATATTTTAATATTTCAAAGAGTATCCATCTGTTTCTGAAGAAAATCATTAAATTTGTTTTAAAGAGATTACTATTATTTCATGAAATTTATCATTCTTAAATGAACAATGCATCGTAATCGGTTCGAAAAAATGTATTTTTAGAATTAGTGTTAATTGTTCAAAAGGAAAAATCTCGAAGGGTAAAAAGCTCGAAACTCGGGAAACTAGAAAAAAGTCTTGAACGTGCAAAATTTCGTAAAGCGAGAATTTAGAAACAGAAATTTCGAAAGTGTGAAATGTAAAAGCAATTTTAGCACTTGATAAATACACGGTTTATTAATCATAAGTATGTTGAATAATGATAAAAGCGTAGAAATAAAAGAGGATAGATATAGAAAAATTGACTGCGATGTGATATTTTACTGCTTTAGCTGGAGAGAAAAAAGTAACATAAAAGAAAATTAAAATAAATAGGTTTACAAGAGAAAAAAAGCAGTATTGAGTAGACATTCATGTTTTAGATTCCATGTCCTTTGCCACAAGTAATGATTAACTGTGAAGATATTCTTTTAAATCAATTTTCGTATTTTTCAAATCTTGACGACAAATTTTGAAGTCGATGTTTCATAACAGTTGTCTTTTTCTTTTTTTCTTCGACGTACTATCAACATGAACCAATTGTTATTGAAATACTACCTTCTCCATTTTAATAACAGAAATGAAGTGCCAATGTTAGGATGATGTTGATTTATTCAACTGGTAAACATACGAATCTAGGACTAACAAAGGCTTTCCTTTGTTACTAGAAATAAATTCAATCGAGATCATAATATGAAAATACAGCCACTTGTTATACAATGACGATAAGTGAATTTATGCGCACATACATGTTTATATATAAACAGAAGACTGAGTAAACCGACGAAAAATACAGAGAAGGAAAAGGAGTGACCCATCAGTCATTCAGTACGCTATCTGTTGGTTTTTGAACTTTCGAGATTTTTTTGTATTCGATATTTTACCTCTCAAGATTTTGTAGTTCGGTATATTGTATTTCAATATTTTGCTCGTTTGACTTTTTTTTCTGTCTTTTTCTTGTCGGGATTTTGCTTTTCGATCTAATGTCGTTCGAGAAATTAGCATTTCTCCAATTATTATTATTCATGCTCACAGTTTTTTTTGTTAAATCTTCAATAATAAATATTAGTATTCTCTTCATATATTTTCGTCAAGATGCATTTATCTTCGTGCTAGTTAACTAATAAAGGCAATTGTAGATAGTAGATCAATTGCTCATTTGTACTTAGTCACGTATGAGATCTTCGAGTAAATGAATTGACGCACATGTCAATAGATACAATCTTCATTTACTTTTTCTAATTTTATTCTATAAAAAGTTTACTTTCATTCAGTTAAAAACCAGAAATTAATGATAATGAATGCAAGTAGTCAATCAACAATCGCATATCTTAATTTCATACGATATGAATTAAATCGTTATATTCCAATAACATTTCTTATTTTTGGAAGTATTGGTCAAATATTAAACATATTAGTTTTTACTCGTCCAATAATTCGAGCAAGTTCATGTTCAATTTATTTTGTTAGTGGTAGTATTGTAAATTTTGTTTCTCTTCATGTTGGTTTAATAACACCTTTTCTCGGAATCTATAATCTTGATCCAACGCAAATATTTGATAGTTTATGTAAAATACGTTATTATCTTCGTTTTTCCACAATTACACTTTCAACATGGTTTATACTCTTAGCATGTATTGATCGATCATTTTCAACTTCTAATAATGTTAATATGAGATCATTTAGTTCATTACGTGTAGCTAAACGTATTGTAATTTTAGCTACTATTATTTGTTTTACTTGTCCTTATACACAAGTATTTTATTGTTATAGAATAAATCAAGACTCATTGTGTGCAGTGAATCCAACATGTAGATTAATAAATGACATTATTTTACTCGTATGTAATTCCGGTGTACCACCTATATTAATGATGTTAACTACTTTAATAACAATTCATAATGTTAAATATTCAAATCATATTGTTGTTGGTCGCCGTCGAGATGTACAATTAATACGATTATTATTTATACAAGTATTTTCTTTAATTCTATTTTCAATACCAATAACAGCACAAAAATTTTACGCATGTTTGACTATTTATATGGTAAAAAGTCCACTAACAATAGCTATTGATAATCTTATGAGTGCAATAGCTACGGAAATTTCTTATGTTAATAATAGTACAATATTTTATACATATTCATTAACAAATAGAAGATATCGAAAAGAAGTTTTTCGTATTCTATTATTATTATTTACATGTTGTCAAAGTACTAAAATACATCCTGTACAATTGATTAATTCGTCAAGAATAAATCAAAATAAAATGACTACAAAAATGTTTAATGAATCATATCAATTGAATATTCGAAATAGGACTAAAAGACTTTGAGAATAAAAACATATATATATATATATATATATCATTTATATGTTGTTTCGTATTTAATAAAATTTACATTTTATGCAGCATGTATTTGATTGATAATATCATACCGATTATTTCACTTACTTATTCTATTACATTAGATCAAGTGTTTTCAACAAGTCTCTCTTACTTCGATTGATCAGTTTTATATTTCAACTAAACTTCATTGTTATATAATATATGACATCGAGTATCCTCTTATAATAATATCAATATTCTTGTTGTTGTTTTCTTTAGAAACTTTTTATCATAAAAATAACATATGTCAATGTCATTTATATTTTATAGGATATTGCCTAAGTCTTATAAATAACATCGGATTATGTGTCACTATAAAAACACTTGTGTAACGACTATTCTATATTTTTCTCTCATTGGAATTCGTAATTGCATTTGTAAAATAGTTCTTTCTTCTTATGAATACCATCATTACCGATAAATAATTACTTGATGTTTCTAGGCAGAGATACAACATTGAATAATAAATCTTTTATTTGTCGACAAAAAAAACTCAAGTATATAGATAATAAAAAAGCATGCATATACACATGGCAATGAAAATCTCGCTTCATATTTGGTGTCCCAAAGATTAGCATTTACCATGGAGAACAGAAGAACAAAATATAATATATTTACATCAATCATAGATTGACGACAGGTTAAAAGATAAAAGTGTATAGCAGGTGTTTATTTGCAAACTGCATATATCCCGAATAGATAGATTTATTGTTGACAGTAACTATGTAAATACTTTCATATTTTGTTTCTTCGTCGGCTTATACAAAAACATTGAACTATTCAACTACTACTCATAATAATTCTATTTGTTAGATTAAAAATATTTTTTGCAATAGTATTATTGTGAGGTAGTAGTAATTAGTCTTATTTATCTATTAATCGTTCATTTTATCAGAAAAGGCATATTTTATTTCTTGTTTTTATAAGTTATCATGCAAAAGTTTTTATTACCATATAAATGATTATTTTAATATTACACTATAGTTAAATAGCGTAAAGTTGATCGGAGATTCATCAATATGAAAAAGAAATTGATCATATAAAATCTATTTTTTTTTCTTTTTTTCTTTCTTTCATAACAATTCATATGAGTAGCGCGTAAGACAAAATAAACGACTCTTTATTTTTAACCGTAATCACTTATTTTGAGAGTGAGTGGAAAAAAAAGAAAAAGTACAAAGTAAAATGATAATACTCTGTAATTGATTATTAGTAAGTCGAAAACATAATTTTTATGCTTTATGGAATATATTTGACATAAAGGTATACCCTATATCTTAATATTGTTATGTATTTAATATCAGTATTGAATGATTGTTTTTTTTTATAGATATGATAAGTTATGATTTGTTTGTCTCTTCTTTTAATCAAATTGAATTCATATTTTTATAAAAAATCACAAGCAGAACTGTGACTATTCTATTGTTCGTCTATACTTCTGAAAACATACTTGAATGGGTTGACGACAGAATAAAATTTTTCTTTTCTTTTCATTTTTTACACTTAGAGACTGCTAAGTGGCTGCGAGCAGCGTGACAACTTCAAATAACAATTCACATTGTATGTAAATTACAATAACTATATGCGCTTTGTTTTTGTCATTATTATCGTTATGAAAGAAAAACTGTGTACTTGTCTACAAATGTGCATAGGAGACTTCGAGTCATTAATCTTTTTTTTCTCATCATTATATAAAGCAATAGCTCTAGAAAAAAAGAAGATCAGCAGAAGTTGTCAACGCAACTCTTGATCTAAAAAAATACAAGTAATATTGATATGTGACTAAGCTATGATATTGATTGATATAGAATCTGCAATATTTCTACGAACTGGTCAAATGATAAGTTATCAACCAGTTTCCGACATCTAAATTTCATGTTGCTATAGATGAAAAACTTTTTTCTTTCTTTTTTAATATTTACGTTGACGAATAATCACTTTTCTTCATAAATATTTTCTCAACTTTTTTTTTCTTTCTACCCGTTTTGCTTCTTGGACGGACCGTTTCTTTTTCCTAGAGACTGAATGATTAAAAACGTCTCATGAGTAAATAATGGAAGCCAACTCAAGGAACAACATAGAACATTCATGATTACGATTGTAATACCGTGGTATGCATTATTATTAGACAATATTCTATAATAGGATACGAAATCCGAAACTTTACTTCTTTTTTTTTTACTCTTTTTTTATCTTTGACACAAACAGTCATGCAAAATAACTGAGAAATAACAGCTCTTTTCTTTTCTTTTCTTTTATTACGACAAAAATATAGTATTAATATTGACGTGAATGGGCAATTGTACTGCTGTTCCTTCACTCCGTCGAATTCCGAAAGACTCCAACAGTAGTGCACGTCACTCAACAGTTTCGTCAGCAACAAATAGTAGATCATTACCTTTACCAAGGCGTGAAACTTATGTAGTACATCACAATTTATCATCTTCTCTTGATTCTTCATTGTGGATTGCAATAAAAAATCGAGGAAAATATACACCAAAAACAAATCATATAAAAACAACACGTTATAATATTATCACATTTTTGCCGAAAAATATTTTTGAACAATTTCATCGTGTAGCTAATGTATATTTTGCTATTTTAATTGGACTCAATTGGGTACCAATTATTAATGCTATTTCGAAAACAGTAAATATTACTTTTGTTGTTTTTAAATATAATAATTAAAAATATCTTATTCAAATATTTTCGTTTAGGTCGCTTTTATACCATTGACAGTTATTTTAACAATCACAGCTATTAAAGATCTTGTCGAAGATTTAAAACGATGGCGAAGTGATGCAAGAATAAATAAACAAATAGCTGAAGTTTATGATAAGTAAAGTTCTACTAAAGATTTTTTCTTATATTGATAATAAATTGTTTTTGTTTTTGTTTAATAGAACATCAAAAACATTTATTGAATGTAAATGGGAAGATTTAAGTGTTGGAAGTATAGTTCGAGTACGAACAAATCAAATAGTACCAGCTGATATTCTCTTACTTTCTTCAACATCTTGTGAAAGTACATGTTATTTAGATACAGCTGCTATTGATGGTGAAACAAATCTTAAACAAAAGAGTATTCCATCTTGTTTTTTAAATTATTCTAAACCTGAAGAAACAAGTTTTGAATTACAATGTGATCCACCAAATGATGATATATATCATTTTTGTGGTAGAATTCTTCTATCAACAAGTACACATGCTCATCCATGTGATAATAATAATTTTCTTTTACGTGGATGTGTATTAAGAATAACAGATTATGTTGATGGACTTATTGTTTATGCTGGTAAAGTTTTTGTTTTCCTAAAGATTTCAATTTTTATTTTGTTAATTTTATTTTTTGATCATAAAATAGGTAATGAAACAAAAATAATAAAATCATCTCGTCATACAATATGTAAACATGCACTTATTGAAAGATATATTAATCGTGATGTACTTTTCTCAAGTTTAATTTTAACTTCATTATGTTTAATTTCTGCTGGTTTATCTATTCGTTGGGATCGTTCATATGGTGATTATTGGATGTTTGTTCCATTTATCGTAGATAATCCATTTGAAAATGTTGCTGGTCATTTTTTTACAAATGCTTTACGTTTTGTAATATTATTTCAAGTCATGGTTCCAATAGCATTATATGTTTCATTAGATCTTGTTCGTGTTCTACAAATGTATACAATTGGACGAGATAAATATATGAAATATGAACATCCAATTAGTTGTCGAACATTTACAATAAATGAAGATCTTGGCCAAATAGGTTATGTATTTTCTGATAAAACAGGAACATTAACTCAAAATAAACTTGTATTCAAAGCAATGTCAATTGGTGGTGTAAAATATTCAGATCGGTATGGATTTGCATTGAATCTAAACCATTTTTCTTTATGTAAAACTAATTGATATTGAGGTTCGTGTTAAACACTTAGACGCTAGATAGTATTTCGTCATAGATTTAAACCTAACACGTCTATCTTTCGAACTATCACTTGTTGACCATCTGAGATCCGCATGGACCCCAGTCTGATAAAATAGAAACAATATACTACATTACCATTATTTTGTAATGGAACTATGATGGTTCTGAACGAGCTTGAATCTGAGAAGAAAAAACAGAGCAACAGTAATTTTGAATGATATTGACGCAATCTTTTTTGTTTTCTTCCCATCTCCTATTCTCAAGATTTTTTCGTTTTGACGATGACTGTCATGTAACAAAGCAAGGTTTGGGGAACGAAATGTTTCTACGTACGTTGTACTCTGCTGAAACGTGTGTGTTGACAAGGAAAGAATATTATAGGAAAGTTTTGCGCGTTTCGACACAATTTCTTTCCGTATTAGTACTGAAATTTCGACAAAATGCAACATGCCTGGAAACTTATTGTTCCTGAAGTAAAACTATTCTTTTACAGCATCGACATGATTGATTGTTGTTGCCGACGTACTGTATTAGATGTTTCTAAAATATAGCTGAACAAACAAGATTACCATCTAGGACTACAATTGCAAAGCATTAAGAAGAATCTCACTGGAGTCCAGGTGCATCTCAAGTGGGTATGCCAGGGTTAATTGAAGCTGTACAAGCATAAATTGGATCATTTTATTCAAATTTTCTTGAAAGGGATTTTTTAAAATAGTGTACGATTGAGCTAATCTATCTTGCTACATTGGTATCTGCGATTCCGATGCCACTATGTCTACATGTTCGTGTAATCAGGATAAGAATATGTTAGATACTTTATCTAAAATAATTTCTTAAATGAGATAGTCTAGCCTTGTGCGTTCAATCTGCCCGTATTGGTATAAAGATTGACAGTTCTAAAGTCTGAATGGTAGGCGTACATGCTAGTATACAGAATGTTCTTTATCAGGGACCTTCATCGTCATTTAATCTATTACTTTAGTCTTACAAATTATTATCTTAATTATAGCTATGA